TGTTCCACGACAGCATATATATATATATATATATATAAACACTGTATATAAAATTTCAGAAGACGGTAAAGCATGTGCGATTCATCACTATTTTCTCACATCTACTTATTTCACAAATTCATGTTATGATTCATTAAATAGATCATATCGGGTTAACTTTCTGCTTTTGTACGTTTGTTTTTTGAATTTCGCGCAAAGCTACACGAGGGATATCTGCGCTAGCCGTCCTAATTTAGCAGTGTAAGACTAGAGGGAAGGCAGCTAGTCATCACCACCCACCGCCAACTCTTGGGCTACTCTTTTACCAACGAATAGTGGGATTGACCGGCACATTATAACGCTCCATGGCTGAAAGGGCGAGCATGTTTGGTGTGACGGGGATTCGAACCCGCGACCCTCAGATTGCGAGTCGAGTGTCTTAACCACCTGGCCATGCCGGGCCACTTTTGTACGTAATACAGCACAAACCACAAAAAAAAAAACTTTTAGATTTTTTCTGCCCGTACAGTTCAATGACTATACTTACCCTTCAAATAGCTAACAGTACATAACAGATACGAAATTTAGCGTTGTGTGATTTCTAACACTCTGTTTTCAATTAATAATAACTGTACAAGTGACATTAAAAAATCGTCACTCCTTTTGCTACTACTCAATTGTTTTGTTTTTTCGTGTTATTTTGTCTTTTCATGTTATTTTTTATCCTAACCTTTTCTGCTTATGCCTATCTTTCTTATGGACGAAATATTGAAATGGCAAAAAAAAACAAAAAAAACTTGAGGGATTTGCTAGTTTTTCAGATATTTTATTGTAATATATCCCACCTGGTACGTTCTTAAGATTTTACATGCACAACTTATCACACCAGAAGTTTGGAAGTTATTACCTAACGTAATATAAACATGCTTACCAAAGTCACTTGTGCAGAATTTCTGCAATAATTCGTCTTCTGTACAAGGGCGACATTCTGAAAGAAAACAAAAAGCTTTACAATAGTGACATTACAAAAAATAATAAGTAGGCATAATCTTGAGACGTGCAACAAATTGGAGTTCATTTTTAAATTTATTAAGGTTTGTTTGTTTGTTTTTAATTATGCACAAAGCTACACAAGGGCTATCTGTGCTCTGCCCACCACGGGTATCGAAACCCGGATTCTAGCGTTGTAAGTCCGCAGACATACCGCTGTATCACGGGGGGGGGCAATTTATTAAGGATTAAAGTGTTTATCATGAATAGAATTTTGGCTGTGTTTATAGCTAACATATACACTAATTATTGGATTCCGATAGCATAATAATAACCAATGGAAGTTTCGAATGATCTTTATCTGAAAAGATCGATTACATATGTGAATATTACCCACAAAATCACTTATGGCAAAAGCCTAGGGAATCAATTGAATAACAATCCTTTTTATTGAAACCAACAAGAGATGGCGCTGTAAGAATGGATCGTACTTTACTTATCCTGGTATAATTTGTCAGGAATAAGAATTTCAAATAAATGAATACAAGCTGGCTAAAACTGTTTTCCTAACTGGATTCAGTTTACACAATAACACTTAACATTTCTCTTCTAATTAATCATTAGTAAACATTAGAATATGTTTAAAAAAGTAATTGTTTTTGTATTTGGTTGTTGTTAAGCGCAAAGTTACCACAATGGCTTCTCTGTGCTCTACCCACCGCTGCTATCAAAACCAAATTTTTTAGCGTTATAAAGTTTCAGACTTACCGCTGAGCCAAAGGTAGGGAGGAGGTAAAAGTAATTGTAACTATCTCAGCTTGTGTAAGAAGTTATCGTAACCATTATGGCGTAAAATATACAAGTAGTTCTTTTACAGGCAAGTTCCAAAACTATCAGCAATTATCCATAATAATTATATATCAAAACAACTATTAACTACCGAGGAGTCAGATTAAAAGCAGAGAAATCAGGCCACAGTTGTCACTGATATTTTTAAAAGCCGATCTGCAATGGTTAGTTATTAGTACTATTGAAACTAGTGGGCAGTGGTTACCTGTGGTTTTGAAATCGGCCGACAGTTGGAAAACCACCACTAAACACTGAGGAGTCTGTTTCAAAACCACTGCAAGGCCGATTTCAAAACAGCCATCAACCCTTGAAGCTTATGCGTTACTAACCAGTAACGCATGTTTTGAAACTAAAGGTAACCACTGTAGTCTTATTTGAAATTAATCACTGAAACATATTTTTAAATTACTGATGGCTAAAGCTGTTGAAGTGCTTGTAGATTACCAAATGTTAAAATCAATTTTAGTTTTATTAATATATATATTTATATAGAGAGAAAGATTGAGTATATTAAAACGATTTTGGCGTCTCACTATGTTTTTACAGCCCACGTCGACACGTCCAGTCACGCTTTATCTGACGACCGTGCATTTTGACGATAGCCCTGCAGCGTAGTTTTTATCGAAAATGCTCTGTCGTAAGGCTGTCGCGCCTAAAGCACACCTCTCCTCCCTGCAGGCTGCACACAGGCCATCTAGTGTACGAGGATGATGGTTTCACAGCGCCCGTTTCAACAGTCCGATCACACAGACATCTACAGCCCTTGACCACTATGTCTTCGTATGGAGTAGCAAAAATTCCCCGTTTCATTCTTCAGTTGTTTGAGGTATGTGACGCAGTTTTAAGTAACATTTCAGTTTATTTTAATTGTGAAGGCTATCATAAACTTTGGTACTACTATAACTACTTAAGAATCCCCACATATTCAACAATTGTAGTGGATTATTTCGGAAATAAAGTATCTGACCTATTATCATAGATTGTATGTTAACTATTTCAAACTTTTATGAAAACATTATCTGGATGATTGTTCATTTCGTATTTTGTGATATTTTACATAACTTTGATAGTTTTTTTCATCTACTCCCGATATATATATATTTATGTATATATCTCGATCTCCTCCTTTTTGCCCCCTAGTGGCACAGCGGTATGTCTGCGGACTTATAATTCTATAAACCGGGTTTCGATACTCGTGGTGGGCAGAGCACAGATAGCCCATTGTGTAACTTTGTGCTTAACTACAAACAAACAATCCTCCCTTTTGCACGTAAAAGGAATGTTAAAACGGTTTTCACTTCTGGATATTTTGGTTGCATATTAGGATAAACATTTAAATATAACCACCAATGCTCACAAATATTTAGAATATTACTGTATCCACCCTAAACACACAGTTAACAATTCCTTCTAATTTGTCTGAAATATTATATGCTTTAGCACCTAACCTTGGGCTAAGAGATAAAAAATGCACTGAAAATGTAATTACCAGAAGTTTGGAAAGTAAGTCAGAAAGGTAAATATAAGATATTCTTCCGCTTGTTATTATCCATTGTTCAAGTATGAGCATAAATTTCAAATGTATTGAAATACTGAACAACAACTTAAAAAAGAAGGTATGAAGCCAACTGTAAATAATAATAAATTCTTTGAACGTAAACCGATCTTACCTTTAAAACCTTTTATAGATTACAGAGTACAAAAATTACCTCAAGAATGTATGACGGAATTTACCAATGCGAAGTAAACCGATCTTATCTCTAAAACCTTTTATAGATTACAGAGTACAAAAATTACCTCAAGAATGTATGACGGAGTTTACCCATGCGAAGT